CACTTGAGCCACAGGCGCCGAGCCACAACTTTGTATTAAGAAAGAAATTTGATTCCTCTGTTATATGTTTTAACAATAAAAAGATTTTGCTCCCCCCCCCCAAAAAAAAGAAAGTGTAAGTTTCTTGAAACTAAAGTAGTAGTAGGTCATTAAGGAGGCAAGTTGGAGAAATGTATTGTAGAATCAAAAGGATAATGTTGAGACTTCATTAGAAGTAAAATTCAGTCCAATAAGTAGTCTGAATGCAAATAGTATCTTAAGCATAAAATATAGGGCATATGTATTATATTTATTTATTTAGAACTGATGCCATAGTAAGGCATATATATTTTAAATGATTTTGGATATAGAGTAATGTTAATGCAATCCAGGCAAATTATAAAATGGTCTTATGTATATTGAGCTGGAAGTTTTTTTCCAAAGATTTATTGCTATGAAATCTTTATTTTTACTTTTTGTAGCCTCTATAATATTCTCTGTTAAGTAGATTTTCAGTAAATATTTGTTGGATGAATGCGGTCTCTGTGATTATCACGTATTTCAGAGAATAGGGGTGTGAGGCAAAGAGGTCTTGTGTATTCCGAGTGTATTCGTATGGTCAGTCTTCCTTCTGCTCTCCGTACAGCTTGTTGATGGTCACTTTGATACTAAGATTGGACACAAAGTGGAGAGTGAGAGTTACCGGAAGATTGCCAGCAGCATTGGGTGCTCAACCAACAACATTCTGTTTCTGACAGATGTTACTCCAGGTGAGTAATCAAACGTTACATGCTCCAGGGTAGGCGCTGGACCTGGTGTACCAACACATGGCTTTTTCTTTTTTTTTTCTTTTTGGGACAGAGCCTCAAGCTGTCGCCCTGGGTAGTGAGTACCATTACATCACAGCTCACAGCATCCTCTTTGTACTGGGCTCAAGCGAGTCTTCTGCCTCTGCCTCCCAAGTAGCTGGGACCACAGGTGCCTGCCACAAGACCCGGCTATTTTTTGGTTGCAGCCGTCATTGTTGTTTGGTGGGCCCCGGGCTGGATTCAAACCCGCCACTTTGGGTGTACGTGGCTGGCGCCTTAGCCACTTGAGCCACAAGCACCGAGCCAAACACATGGCTTTTTCAAAGAAGGCTTATGTGGGGATCCTTGAAAAATAAATTTTTTTTTCTTTCTTTCTTTTTGAGACAGAGTCTCTGTTGCCCTCCCTAGAGTGCTGTAGTGTCATAGCTCACAACAGCTTGAAACTCCTAGGCTCAAGCGATCCTCTTGTCTCAGCTTCCCAAGTAGCTGGAACTATAGGCACCCGCCACAAGTCCTGGCTAGTTTTACTATTTGTAGACATGAGGTCTTGCTCTTGCTCAGGCTGGCCTTGAATTCCTGAGCTTAGGTGATCCACCCGCCTCAACCTCCAGAGTGCTAGGACTACAGGCATGAGACACTGTGCCTGGCTGAAAAATAAACCTTTTGTAAAAAGAAACAGTGAACCAGCCAACCTACCTCTGTCTTCATCTATGAACACTTGGAGGTTGTGTGTGGGGAAGTGACACTGGAAAGACTAATTCTCGTTTGAACTCCTCTCTGGTTCCCCACCCACTACTCTGGATGCACACATGCACACCGATGATGTGGGAAGAGAACGAGATTAAGGGGTGTCATAGCAGGCAGGAGTCTGAGGGCAGGTGCTGGCTAGTTTTTAAGGACAGTAAAGTTACAGTGGACCTGGACCAGATACATTGAACAGCTGTACATGCCCAGCAAAAACACATACCCAGAAGGAAGAGAATTGTGATAGGTCAAGCAGTTTGCCCATCATTCCAGTTGATGTCTGTGAGCAGGGGCCTCATACCTGCCTCCCCCACAAGGTCTCTGTTCCTACACATGCTTCCCCCACGTGGCGCCTCTCAGCTTGTGAATCTCAGGCTTCATGGTATGAGAGTCACCTATATAAAGACATGTATTTTTTACCCTGCATGGCCCTGTTTTTTATATCTAGTACATTAGCATATACATCATTACTTTAAGGATTGAATGCCCCAAACAATAGATGTACTGTACTCTATTACCAGGAAGAGTAGTTTTGGTGAAATGGAAAACATAGTCGAGCATCTATATAAGAATAAGAGTCCTCTGGAGAATTATAGGCGGAGAAGGCAGGAAATAGGCAAAGAGGTGCAGGGTGCTGGGGGAAGGTGGTCTTTGCCATTCACACCTGAAAGCCCCTGCTGGGTGAGGTCCTTCTGTCTCCCCACACCTGCCTCCAACTTTGGATTGTATGGTCATTCCCTCCAGAGTTTGTGCATCAGCCAGTGAGCCTACTGTTGGTATGTTTGTAATTTCACTTGTATCTGAGGGCAGTTCTTACGTGTTGGTGTTTCTTCTCTTCTGCTTTGGATCTCTACTGAGATCACACCTCCTCTTTACGCCTGGAGCAGGGCCTTGTGTACTGTGCAGCTGCTTTTGACAAACTGTCTGTGACAGCAGGCTGGGAAGGATTAGGGAAAGGGGGCGTGGGGAGGAGTTGGCTCCACATGACTCCTGGGCCTCTTGGAGACAGCTTTAGCAGTCCATAAGCCAGATCCCTCTCTCCAGCCCCTCCTGTCTGTCATCACAGAACTAGAGTCTCTTCTACTCACTGGAATTTTCAGAGATAGGGCCAAAAGAAAATCGAGACTTTTGGGAAAGGTGTCTTACCTGAAGTAGTGTGTTCGAGCTATATTCTTTCTGTTATGCTGACCTTAAGCTTTTGGTTTGCTGTGATAGGTAAGCAAGAGGTACAGGTATTTAAGCAGGTACTAACTAATTTGCTAAGCAGCTTTAAAAAAAAGTCTTAATCAGCATAGATTATATAATACCTGAAGAAATTATAACTTAATAGAGGGAGAGCAGGTTTGATTTTATCTGACATATGGTAAACCTTCAGTAATTATTGATGTCTTTGTTAAGATAGGAATCTAGTTCTTGGTAAAACTAGACTGGAATTTTTGATCTAGGTAGACATTACCAGTTCATAGCTATTTATTATTTTGTGCTTTGAAAATTTAGCACATTTAATGGGGATCAGCTCCCATCCTGCATGTCCTGGCTTGCGTTAGCTTCAGAGGCCAAGCATTTTTACAGACTGTCAGCTCATATTGTCTCCTTTCTGGAAAGCTTTACATTCACATACTTGATTGCAGTGAAGGAGAGAGACAGACACGTGTATTGAGTGCTGAGTAGCCAGGCCACGGGAAAAGTCGCGGAGCATGAGCTGTTTCCTCTGGTGCCTGCTTTGAACTTGGTGAATGCATTGCAGATGTTTGCCTTTCGTGTTTCCCTATAGAAACCTTTTACTAAGCTAAAGCTACAATATACTCTTGAGTGACTCTGGGGGCTTAGAGTGGTAAGACAGAAAGGTTGCTTCACTATCAGTGAAGAGTAAGGATGTGCCATCGGTTTCTGTGAGCAGTGATCATTTGAAGACCATTTACTATGTTTTGCTCTTTATAGAAAGGAATTAGCCCTTAGCCTGGTGAGTTTAGCTGTTTAATCTGTGAATTTCTTTTCTTTTCTTTCTTTCTTTTTTTTTTTTTGAGACAAGAGTCTTACTATGTTGCCCTGGGTAGAGTGCTGTGGTGTTACAACTCACAGCAACCTCAAACTCTTGGGCTTAAGCGATTCTCTTGCCTCAGCTTCCCAAGTAGCTGGGACTACAGGCACCCGCCACAATGCCCAGCTATCTTTTTTGTTGTAGTTGTCATTGTTGCTTGACAGGCGTGGGCCGGGTTGGAACCCACCAGCCCCGGTGTACGTGGCTGGCACTCTAGCCTCTGGGCTACAGGCACTGAGCCTGAATTGCTTTTCTTTAATCATTCACATAAAGGAGGTTGTTGGAGATGAAAATCTGTAGTCTGCCATATACATTAGAATGTCTGTAAGTTGACCACAGAGGGAATATAATAGACTGGTCAATAAAGGAGGTGGTCACCATAAGGCCTGCTGTACTGCTACATGCATGTGGCACATGAAAATCAGGTCAACTTAAGGAGATGGTCAACTATGGAGGTTCTAATATATTTAATTCCCCACCACTTTTTCTGGTAAGTTTTAAAAGTTTAGAATTAAGAATCTGCTTTGTGCCTAAAGCTCCCTTCAAAGTGAACCAGTTCTGGGATTGAATACCTGGTGCCTCAGACCCTTGTTTTGTCCCCGGCTTTTTGATGATATAATTATAACCCCCAACTGTGATTACTTATAGCTTCTTCATATTCTGCTCTTGTAGCCACTTGTTTTTTGTGTTTGGCATCTTAGTACATATCTAATTTCAGGCCTTTCTCTTTTCACCCAAGTCATTTCCTTAGGTTGCAGTTCAGGAAATTATTCCTAACTTTGGAGAATAGAAATAATCCCCAAGTTGGCCTCAAAATGAAACTGGCTTCCTTTGAGTTCTCCATAAGGAGGTTTTATTCCTGCACCTCGTCTTCTGCCACCCCCACCCTTGATTAGTCCCACATGTGAAGGGTTGGAACTTGGGTCATCTGTAGCTGGGGGGAAGCAAGGAGCTATCTCTGTTCTCGTGATTTAGTGTCACTGGCGCAGACATTCCTGCTAAGGCCGGATGGAAGACTAAGTTGATATCTTAAATAATAACCGAGTAAGGAAGAGAACTGAGCGACTTTCCCCCTTGGAGGAAAGGAAAGGGATCCTGGGTTTTGAGTCAACAAATA